GCTATCTTGGAGTACCAATCTTACATAAGAGAGTTACTAAGGATACCTATCATTACATTGAAGAGCGCGTTCAACGGAAGCTCTCTGGATGGAAAGCGCGATCACTTTCCCTAGCAGGGAGGATCACACTTGCGCAAGCTGTCCTAAACACAATACCATACTATGCGATGCAAACAACAAGACTGCCGAGTTCCACCTGTGCCAAACTCCAAGCCTTAACACGTGGTTTTGTCTGGGGAGACACGGAGCAACACAAAAATGTTCATCTCATTAAATGGGATCAGCTTTGTCAGCCCAAACATCATGGCGGCTGCGGATTAAAAGATCTTCAAGGCCAAAATACTGCATTCTTGATGAAACTGGTTTATGCCTTCTTAAACCACCCTGAGCTCTATTGGGTTCGAATACTTCGAAGCAAATATGCATGGTCAGATACAGCAAGGCAGTCGGTGAAAATAAAAAACACATCCCACTTATGGCGGAACCTAATGATTATCATGGACGAGGTGGATAATGGCATCCAGTGGAAAATAGGTAATGGGAATTCCATAAAATTCTGGTCTGATGATTGGGTTGGTGACTTAGGGCCGCTTTGTAATTTATCTTATTCTCCAATAGCTGAGAATGAGCTACAGAGACCGCTCTGTGAGTTTGTCACCAGGGATGGAAGCTGGGATTGGTCCACGTTTAGTTCACTACTCCCTGCATCTATCCTCTTGCAGATACATAAGCTTAAGCCTCCCATACCGTCAAACAGCGATGACAGGCGCTCATGGAGACTGGAAAAAACAGGGGAATTCACTGTCAAATCGGCTTACCACTCAGTGATGGAGGATAACTGGAACATAAGTCACAGTGGTTGGTCTCTTGCTTGGAAATGGCCAGGGCCGCAACGAGTTCGATCTTTTCTATGGCTAGTCCTAAACGGTAGATTGTTAACCAACAAAGAACGAGCTCGCAGACATATGGCCCACGACGAATCTTGTGAGCTCTGTAACGGCGGGATTGAGGATGTGAATCACGTCCTTCGTACGTGCACCCATGCTGTGGAATGTTGGAGCTTTATTGTTCCCCCTGATAAATTTCAGAATTTCATGTCAAGCAGCTTAGAAGATTGGCTCCAAGACAACCTTTGCGCAAATCGTACTAGTACAACCTAGAGGGTGATCTTCGGCCTTCTTTGCTGGAAACTTTGGAACGTTAGGAATAGAAAGTTATTTTGTGATGAAAGATTTCATGCCCATCGCGTTGTTAATGAAGTTCTTGCTTTGAACGAGTATATAAGCAGGACTTCAGAAACAACAGGTTGATTATCTTTCTTTTGCCTTTGGGTCTGTTTGTACATACTCTCTTTTCTTTTAATACATATCTTTCCCATTCAAAAAAAAAGACACGTCCAGAAGATAAATTCCCAAACCAAAATTCATACTGAGGCTTATAGAAATCATGTCTCATTTTATGTGGGCCAGAGCTTGCGGGCCCTCCTCATAACCGGGCTCTTCCGAGGTGTCCTTCTTCCTTACACGTGGCATATCCGGATCGCCCTCGCTGCCCACTGGGCTTGCTCTGCAAGCTGAGACAACTTCCACGCTAATACAGACAAAAGAGCTGGATCATTTTAGCATATCCTTACCAACACGGGTTAGGTCTAATGGAAGAGGTTAATCCCTCATAACTTAGTGAACCAAGATTCAAATTTCTGTTGAGAGAGGTACTCACATTTAGTGTCTGATAGTATCTCAAATAGAATTGCTTCCAATTAGAAGATACCTATATTTTAGCAAAAAAAATAACTAGATAATTTTTTTAAAATATAAGTAAAGCTTTGCTTGTGAGATTTTAATGGTACTTTCATGAAGGCATATTGGCATTTTAAGAGAATTGATTCTGATCATGCCAGATTCGCGCGTGGCACTGATTCTTTTTGCATAGGGTTTGTTTGGCTCAATTAGAGGAATGAGAGGGGAGGGATTTTAATAGAAGGAATGGAAGGAAAGGAGAGTAGAAAGATTTTAATATTACCTTATTTGGATTTATAAAAAAACAAAGAGAGGAAAGGAATTTTAATACTCCTCCGGTCCTTATTATAAGACCCAATTTGACTTTTTATTTGGTCCTAATTATAAGACCCAATCCATTTTGTCTCTTATATTTATGCATTTTTTCCCAAGATAATCCTTCTAATAATGATAGTTTTAGCCAATATACTTAATTAGCAAGGATATTTTAGGAATGACAACACTTATTTATTATAAATAACCAACTTAACTTACTTCCTTAATTTCCTCAAATAAGTCAATTGGGTCTTATAATTAGGACCGGAGAAGTACTACCTTGTTTGATTCATGAGGAGAGGGGAGGGAACAATATTTTGACATGGACAATTTCACCCTTATTTTATTTAAAATATGGGCATAATGGTCATCACATGAAAAAATATTAGCATAATGATCATAACATGACAAAATATAACCCTTTCTCTCCAAATCCTCCCAATTTTGGAGGGAAGATTAAGGAGGGGAGGGAAGGGAAAATTTTTTCCCTCATCAATTTGTGTGTTGCCAAACAAGAGGAAGTGATTATAATCCTTTTCCCTCCCTCCCCTCTCTTCCAAATCCCTCTTACCAAACACACCCTTAGAGTCTTGGATGAGAAAATTGGGATGAGCCGGCGTGGCTTTTGTAAAGTGCGTGTGATGCAAATAAGTTATTCTTTGCTAGCAAGGAAAAGCACTCCGACTACTGGAATTCGACCCCTCCTTCCAATAATACCATGAAATGAGGAGATCAGGCAACGGTGATCCCACTACCTTCCTTCTTGATAAAGCATATGTAAAATATCTCCAGGCATGACAAGACTCTATTTTGGCCAATATTATATATGGAAAAGATAAGATTAACCACTTTAACTTTAGTCAAATTTACTGTTTTTTTTTTCCCATTAAGAAAGATCCAGATTTCCTAAGTCAATTATTGTTTGAAAAATCATGATCTTCTTTTAAAAATCCACACACCCTTTGAAAAATTAAAACGTCAAAATCAAAATTTCGTTCAAAACTGCAGTTATATTACAAGCCATTCATGCCGACTGAACAAAATCTGTCTTTAAAAATTAAAATCATAATCATGAACTGTACCCCAAAAAAAAAACATAATCACGAATTATTTTTATTTAGAACCTAATTTTCACACCTCTGGTCCAGACTAGTCTTGATTTAAAAACAAAAAGAAAAAAAGAGGAGCAAAGTTTTTTTTTTTTACAAGAAAGTTTATGTGAGTTGAATCCTGAGAGCTCAGTAAAGTTAGGACATACTTTTAAGTTCAGAGAGCACTTATAAAAATACTTACAGATTGTCCACTAGTAAAATCCTCATATCGGCAATAAAATTTGAATTCATGACCTTATAGGTTATGAGTTGACTCCTTGCTAACCAAACCAACTATTGTTTAAGTTTTAATTTCTAATCCATGTCATTTCAAATTAGGACTGTGGCGTGATGGGCTCATGAATACACCTAAAAATGGGCCACCCAGACCCATCCCATTGGCTCTTCCAATTTTATTCATATAAGTTTTTAAATTTGAAAAGGCCTAACCACATTGCTTCTCCGAAACACCAAGAAAGGCATATCCGCATGTAAATTCCAACGCCTCTTGTTAAGTCGGCTTCCTTTTTTGTCTCTTTCGCGTATAGTTAAGGTCAACATTTTATTTTTAATTTCATACATACATACATACATACATACATATATATATATATCAATCACTCCACAAATCACGTCAGTTTCTGGAGCAATTCCAATTTTACAAGAATCCCACACCATCAGAAATAAATCTCAAAAGTGACGACGTTAATTAACTAGCTTTATTCGGGTGATGTGGCACACATTTTGCTAAATGAATATCTCATCAATTAAACAACTTTCCCGTTTCCAAAACTAATTCAAAGCCGCCTGTATAAAGAAGCTTGTCACCTGCAGTCCAATGTTTAAAAAAAATAAAATCGAAACGTATCATTCATGGAGACGCACATAGCACAGCGATCCAGTTCTTCCAAGCACAGATTATTGCCTTTTGATATCCCAGCTCCAACAAAGCAATAAGTAATTCACGCCACTGGACAGGGGGCGCCCATTTTTCCTTTCATTTACGCCAATTTACGAGGACAAAAGGAAGAGAATTTGATCATTGAACATTGCGAGTTGGAACAAGGAGAAAGGCAGCCTAAAGATTTTCAAACTCGCTGTAATAACTCTGCAACTTAATATAAGGATTAACTTAATATTTAATTTGATCATAAATATAAGATTCTAATCATTTTGTCTTTTATATTTTTTTATTTTTTATTAAATAATTTTTATAGTAATTACATATGTTAAATATTTTATTAAATTATAACTCTAGTTAATATACATAATTACTAAGGATATTTTAGAAAAAATAATATATATTTATTATAAATAAATAACTTAAATAATCTTCTAAATCTACTCAAATCAGTTAACTAATTTTTATATTAATAACTACAGATATTATTTCTGATTCAGACTGCCGAATTACGATTAGAAATAAGAATTTGGAAAACGTTGAACCCACGCAGAACACGAACCGGAAATAAAAGTACAGTTGAATGCGGCTTTTTAAGTTTTAAAGAAAACGGCGAACGAGTTGGCGTGCCTGGTGAGTCGTGACTCGTGGGTTTAAAGTATTACCTAGCATGACGCCTCAATAGATGCAAACGACGTCAGTTTGATTATTATTTGGCCGTCAGATAAGATTATATTTAAACAAATAAATTAATTCGCAAATTATGAGTTATTATATTAATACACACACTTTGCTAATCAATATATAGGATTCCGGCTGAGATTAACTCGTTCATATCTGCGTGTGGGTCTCCCTTAACGTCAGTGCCCGTTACCCGGGCCTATAAGTATCCACCAAAACTCGTACAACAGGTTTAAAGCTCCAAGCCTGAATAGAAGAGCTGTAAACTTCCGGCTCGGCCTTCGCAGAGGAGGAGCCTAGAACCTTCTTTCGTTGCTCTCGAATCATGGAGTTCAAAACCAGAAATCAAGAACGATCCACAATCAAGTTCCTCTGTAGCTATGGCGGCAGAATTCTTCCTCGGGCCACAGATGGCAAGCTCCGCTACGTCGGCGGCCACACGAGAGTCCTCGCCGTCGATCCCTCTATTGCTTTTTCAGGTTTGCTCCTTAGCTTCCTCTCACCTTCGTTATCTGTCTGCTCCTTCTGTTCTTCATTTACTCATCTAATAGCGAATTTATGGTCATCTGCAGAGCTGATGGCCAAGCTTGAAGAATTGTCTGGTTCGTCAGTGACGTTGAGGTGTCCATTGCCCAACGGAGACTTGGAGACGTTGATTTCGATTACCAACGATGAAGATCTGGCCCATATAATTGAGGAGTATGATCGAGCTTCGTCGTCGTTGGCTCATCCGCTGAAGATCAGAGCCATTCTTTCGCCGCCGAAATCACTCAAGAAAATATCTCCTCCTTCGTCTTCTTCTTCTAGCGCGAATCAATCTCCGTCCAGATCTCTCCACAACTCCATCGAGTCCTTGCCTTATTCGCTGGCCTATCGCTTTATCTGTCACAACTGCGCACCGCCGGTTGGATATCCAATCGGTGTCCGTAGCGGGAGCCCTAGGTTTTCATACGGTGGTTCCTACTGCGGCAATTACTGTCACTGAGCTCATAGAAGACAAGAAGAGGAAAAAGTTGGACCGAAAGTCGGGGACGAAGAGTAAAAAGTTGGACCCCTGCTTATGGGAACGTTGATTCGATGATGACGATGAACACTAGATATAGAGAACAGAATACTAAATTTCTCAAGAGCTTGAAAAAATAGAGAGATGAGTGCGTTGTGAACTAGGACTATCTTTTTTTGGACTTTGCCCATTTTCATCTGGTTGAGGTTTTCTGGTATTGAATGGAGCTTGATTTGTTGGTCCTGGTAGCGGATTGTCCACGCTCTTTGAACAAGTAGGATTTGATCGCCGTTCCTTACATTATGAGTTTCTCATTCACAAACATGATTCCAGTCTAGAATGAATTTTGCGTGTCTGTGGTTGCTCTGCACGCGGGCGTTCAAGTGTCAAATGATGTGGGGTGAGTTTATTTCACTGGTGAGTTTCTTCCATCATTTTTGGTCAAATTATTTTTGTTGATTTGTATAACGATGCTGATCTTCCCTTCGGTTGTGTAGCTTTCAAGTCTGCAGGTCCTCTTCGACCCTGGCTGCTTGGTGCTAGAAGGCAACTAATCCTCCTCATCATGATAAACTAATCTTTAATTCGCACGGCATAAATTTACGAAACGCAAGAAAGAGCTAAACATTGACTAGGAGCAATTTGCAAATAATGAAAAATCGATGCAAGATACTAATGGAGGAAAGGAAAAAAATGGTGAACATTGTTCTTAATTTGTGAAATTTGATCTTTTTTGGTGTGGTTGTTGAAACTTGAAACTATTGATTTTGGTTTTCTATTTCATTTTGATTTGCCTAAAAAATTTTAGTCTTTACAACAAGGATCAAAATCAAAATGAGTGAAACCAATAGTTTTAAATTTTACTAATCAAAATTAAAAGGGAAAATGACTTAAAAAAATGATTGTTGAAATTTAAAATGATAAAATGGACATGTGAATATATGAAATGATGAAATGGGCATGAGGTATCAATCTGAAATTTTGATAATTCAGTAGGAAGACTAAACCCTGAACCTCTTTGAAGTCATGAACAGGTGGTAAGTCTCAATACAAAAGTTGTAATTTACATTAAAAATATTGTCATTATCATTATCGGGATAATGAAATTGGTTTCAAATACATGTTATTTGGGTTTAAAAGAAACGAATTGCAAATGACAATAGCGAGATGGTAACTCTCATTATGAAAATTGTAATTCACTTTACAAATGTTGTTGTTATCATTACTGGAGTAGTGAAATTGACTCCAAGTACGCATCAGGGACACTTTAACCTTTTTACCAAATTGTCAAAATTTTATATTAATACCTCATGCCCAATTAGTCATTTCATACATTCGCATGCCTATTTTGTCATATTAAATTTCAACAGTAATTTTTTGGTCATTTTTCAAATTAAAATGCGGTCAAATTTTATGAATTTTAAATTTTAGAGACAATAATGATAATAAGTTGCTTAGCAGAACATATTGACCAAGTATGTTGGTTTAGCGAAGACGCTTTGTTGGAAGGCTGCGTGAGGGTTAAGCAGTTGGCTTCCACAATAACTGGACAAAGTATGTGGACTACATATAGACGTCCTGGGGAGCCTCAAAAGAGAAACATTGTTGTCCAGGGACTGGGGAATAGGGGAGGGAAATGTACTCCTCAGTTGTTCTTGGCCTCTGGAATGACAACGAGAAGCCGTTCAAAGGGAAGGAGAAGGGACTGTCGTAGAGCAAGTTGGTCCTTTAGGTGATTCACGCTGTTCATAACGATCACACTGCGCGAACGAGAATTACAGTGACAAGTTTCGCTTTTACAAGAAAGGATCATTGGAGAAAATATGAATCAGTGAACAAGGGACAAGGAATGGAAAGTACAGGAAGAAAGTGGAAGTTGCACTAGCGCGCTGGGTAGCAAATTTGTAGTATTGAATAAATGTGATCGTTAGGGATAAATTAGTAACTAATTACTCCTCCGGTCTTGTTCATAAGAGGGAGAAAGAATAAAATTTTTAATCCTGCATAAAAGATAGAGAGAGAAAATTTTCACATAAATATACAACTATACATTTTATTTATTATTATGTTAATTTTATTCTGATAAAATATATTGTATATTAAATAGATATAAAATTAAAAAATTGTTAAAATTCAAATAAGAATTAATAAAATTTAAGATTTTTATTGGTTTATATAAAACATTTTAAAAGTGATTTACAAATAAAACCAAAAAAATAAGCCTATATGAGAGGTGCTTGAGAAAGATTTTAGTTCGGTTGACACTTACAGCTTGAAGCAATAATTTGAAACGAAGTTATCTCACCCCAACAACAAATTTCTTTTTTAGAAGAAGGTTTGAACCAACTGAATAACTACTTGGTTTACCAGTTTTCACATTGATTAAATTTTTGGATATAAAATTTGGCAGATAAAAGACACTTATTCGCAGCTCTTGTTTAAGGAAAAGAAAAGATCAGGAGGAAGGTGACAATAAAAAACAAATAAACTAATACCCGGCAGAATGAAATTTACAAGGTACACTCATGAAAGTAAACGTTCAATAGCCTAGAATCGTGCTGACTGCTGCTTGAGCCTCTTCACTACAGTGCAAATTTTCTATTGTTTTTGGTTTGGGGATTGGCCAAGACAGAAGACTGGGATGGAAAAGGCCAAATGAAAAATGAATGGATGAACAACAGTTTAATAAGAACTTCGTTCTCCCCTGCTAGAGCCGAGGCATCAATTAATCAATCTAATAAGGGAAAACTACGGATTTATGGGGAGCAACTACAAGTAGACTTGATCAAGGCATCTGCACTTATTGTAAGATTCCTCCTCACAAGTTAATGGGCGTTCATACGCAGCTCTTCAACCAGTTTCTTGCTCAAATTCTTCACCCTCAGATTCCTCCCCATTATCCGCATCATCATCATCAGCATCATTATCAAACTCCTCCTTATCATTATCGGTAGTGCTTTTCCCTATCACGATTAAGTTGCTATTGGTCTTCCTGATTTCGTTGCACTGCAGTGACTCATCCCAACAATCACAAGCATGAATCAGAGAGGAAAAGAAAAAAGAGAATTACAATGAGGTCTCAAGTAAGGAAAACAATTGAAAAACAAGCCCCAGAAGTTATTATTCTCAATATAGGACTTGTCATTATAAGTTGTTAAGGTTGTTATTGGGACCTTTTGGTAATTATTTATCTCTGTGGGATTTGATTATAACTCCCCCAAAAGAAAATCATGAGGGAAGAAACTTAAAAATGCATTCCCTCCCAAGTATTTGAAGATCAAGCCTATTGCCCTCCCAACTGCCATCAATCGCACATCTCATTTCCCTAATTTTGTGTAATGCATAGGCCTCATATCTAGTATGACTATATGTGCCTTGTCTTAGCTCATGGATTCTTCATTGATTAATAAATAAGTTCAAGCGTATAGCAACTATTTTAGCTCAGAATTATTCATTCAATAGTAAATAAGTCCAAGAACATGGCAAATGTGAAAAGAGGAAACAGTTTGACGCGAAGAATCTAATAGCTTTTCTTTAAAGGAGTTTATCCTCTTATCTTATAACCCCGGGTTGTGATCTTCACAAAATTTTATAAGTTAAAAATATGGCAGCGAGAGGCTTTCAACCTAGATACCTTATTACCTTATGCTGTTGAGCACATCAATAAGCATGCTTTACAAACTAGTTCTCCGGAGACACGCATATGGCAAAACCTAGGTGAGGTAGGCCTGATAGAATATTGTCATTACTTTGATTTGATCACTTATTTTCTAATCCTAATTTCAATATATCGTATCTTTAACCCTATCAAGCCAAACTCCTACAGTTAAGCTCCACTTGACTCATTTCATGTCACTCATAAATTCCACTTCATTCGTACATTCCTCGCATGTTTGAGCTTTCTCAACAATGAATCCTGACTATTCTGTATAAAAATATCATTGACATCCTCATATTTCATCGTCTATTTTTTTCTTCAGTCTGAGAGATTTTTTTTCCATCATCCGTATAGTTGTTTTAGCCAAAAAGGCCTTGTATGTTCGATGTGGGAATTCATTCAAGCCATAACTCAAGTTCACGGAAGGGTGATCACAAGTAATCAATAGCAATGCAACAATGAATATTCCAACTAACAATGATCACAAGTTCACGGAGGGGTGATCACAAGTAATCAATCACAAGTTAAAACTGATTTCAATCGCCCCCTTTGTTACCCAGAAAAAAACCTGCTTTCGATCACACCATAAACCATGGATCAACTGCCAATGGGAGTTTGTGCTCGTGGATTAAATTAACGCACATAATAAAGAAAACAACATTCTCCGGGATTCCGAAGGGAGGTCCCCCACCCCCCAAACCCCCAATTTGGAGAAACTTCAGAGCACAGGTGTGATTAAACAGTGATGGAATTAAATCGATGAGCAAATCCCCCGGACGGTTTGATTCAAGTGTAATGGAAAGCAGGGTTTAAGAGCAGAGTACCTTTTCTTCAAACTCGGACTCCTCCATAGCGAGGAGGAGTTCTTCGTTATGAGGTTGAGGCCACTGAGATGGTAAAAGGAACGACGTTGGAATCGTCCTTGTCGATGAAGGGTACTGTGTCATATACGCCGGAAACTGTAACATTTTTGATGTCGAGGACTCCTCTCCCTCGATTTTTAGTCACCACCGAACCGCTCCCCTTCGACCGACCCCGCACTTTAAAAATCACTTCCCTGGAACCCGCCCAGCGGTAGACAAAAGATGAAAGGGAAGAAAGAAAAAGACCTTATTTTCTTATGGGGTAGACAAAATGAAATTTGAAAATTGAAAACGGAGGTACATTAATAAATTTGTTGGTGAGAAAGATGGATTAGTACACTTAAAATATAAAAAATACTCTTCTGGTTCCTAATATAAAATCTATTTAACTAATTTGATTAGATTAAAGAAATTAGTTAAGTTAGTTAATTACTCCCTCCGTTCCTTATTATAAGAGACAAATAACTAAATTACGTTGATAAAAAAAACAGTTAAAATTAGTTGATGACAATTAATGTGTAAAAAGTATAATGTTTTTTCCAACAATACCCCTATTAATAAGGAGAGAGAACAATTAAATTATTAAAAGAAAGAGAAGTGGGAGGGAGAGAGAGTATGAGTATGAGACAAAATAAATAGGGGTAAAATAGGAAATCAATACAAAAAACTAGAGACAACTTTTAAGTGTCTCTTATATATAGGAACATGCCATAAGCATCAAGTGTCTCTTATAATAAGGAACGGAGGGAGTAGTTTTTTAATGCATTCTCTTATTCAAAAAAAAATCTAACTTTTTAATTGTCCATTTTATGCGAGATAATATGAATTCGTATTCGCCTAGCCAGGAATTGAATCATGAATGTTTGAATTCGATGGTTTCTGATAGAAGCGTAGAACCAAGGGAGAACCCCACTTTTTCTCTTTTAGAAGGGCTTTTTTTTATACTCCTCCCGATGCTTAATATAGAACTCAATTCTTGAGTTGGTTTTTATCTTAAATATAAAACTCATTTCTCATAATCATTAATTTTCTCTAAATTACCCATATGGATACTCTCTCAACTATAATCAAGTAGGAGAGGGAGAAGAGGTATTAAGAAAGATGATTATGGTGTTTTAAGAAAAATATGTCACTTTTCTTATACTCCCTCCGTTCCTTATTATAAGAGACATTTGATGCTTATGGCATGTTCCTATATATAAGAGACACTTAAAAGTTGTCTTTGCTTTTTTGTGTTGATTTCCTATTTTACCCATATTTATTGTTTTCAACTCACACTCTCTCTCCCTCCCACTTCTCTTTCTTTCAATAATTTAATTGTTCTCTCATGCTCTCTCTCCTTATTAATGAGGGCATTTTTGGAAAAAAATTATATTTTTTACACATTAATTGTTCTTAACTAATTTTAACTGTTTTTTTTATCAACGTAATTTGATTATTTGTCTCTTATAATAAGGAACGGAGGTAGTAATTTACTAGTTAAAGGAAATCACGCGCGTTACCAAGTTGGGCGTGAGAGCGGCGCCAACTCACGCTTTCTACGCTGCGGGGGTCACTCCTCCTCCCATTTTAAGACTGCAATCATATTTTGTAAAATAATTAATATAATTTCTAGTCATTTAAATCTCTCTTTGTCATGATTTAAGTTTTAAACTATAAATTTTAACTCTTTAATTTTATTTATTTAAAATATTAGTCTTATAAATTGACAAAAACTTAGATTATTTTATCTATCAAGAGACTAAAACTTATAGTTTAAAACTTAGGAATTAAAATCTACACATGATTTGAAACTTGATAAACAAAAAAATGAATTTAATGGACCAAAAATTATATCCACCTTTTTATAAAATTATAAACAAAATGTTATTTTTTTAAAAAATATATCTAAAATCAAATTACTAAATCTAAGCCAAGATAACTTAAAATAACAATAAAAAATATTTTATATAATATGAAATTTAGATCGGTTAAATTGCAACCTTAGTAGTTAAAACAAGAAAGAGAGAGAAATGGAAGAAAAAGGAAAATATTCTTTGTAGGCGTGCAATCCATTGTTATTGTGCGTAAATTAATTCCTTATATCTAAATAATATTTACTAATATACATATTTTTGTACAATGTTAATTTTTTCTGTATGCAACTGAATTTTTTGTGTGTAATCCGTAGTCTTATAGACTAATTGCCAATTAATTTTGCAGTTGTCCCTAATTTTCTCTGTTTTTGATAACAATTTATTTGTGATAATTATTTAAAATCATTGCCTTTATTATCGCACACTCGTGCAGAGTGCTGCGCGTAGCATGGTGCCTTGTAACTATTACTGTAACCATATCACCGACCATTAGTTGGAAAACGAAGACTCGAAAGAAGTATTTACTTTATGTTGGCTGTTAGACATTCAAGGACAGCATATGACCCCTCTTTAATATTTATATTGTGAAAAATAAATACTCCTCCGGTCCTTAATATAGGACTCAATTCTTGAGTTTGTTTTGGTCCTAAATATAAGATCCATTTATCATATTTATCAATTTTCTCTAAATTACCCCTATAGATACTCTCTCACCCATAATCAAGTAGAAGAGGGAGATGGGGTATTAAGAAAGATGATTATGGTATTTTAGGAAAACTGTGTCACTTTTCTTATAACTAACTAACTTACCTATCTTTCTTAATCTAATCAAATTAGTTAAATGGGTCTTATATTAAGGACCGGAGGAGTATCTGAAAATGATCATGACTTTAAATTGATACAGTTTTGACCTGTCACGCATAGGGCGAGTGGGCCAACTACTTATCTGAATATAACTTGATCTCTTTAAGATGATGAAAATGAAGGCGGTGGCGTGACAAGGCACCGACCCCAAACAAGTAAATGATCCAACTTCGTTCTCTTCTGCACTTTTCTTTCGACCAGACTCTCCAGCACCTTTCGGCTTTCGTGGCGTCTCAGATCTTGGATTCTACACAGAGCTGCGTTGAAATAATAGCGCTCAGTCAAATAATTCACATTGAATAAAAATTAGATAAATTGATTATTTATGTATATTTATTTATTTCTTTCAAATACTTCATTTCAATAATTTGCTTTAAGAGAATTACTTTTTATTAAATGTGTGTAATCAATAGTGATGGTTTTATTAAAAGAAAAAAGAAAAAAAAGCAAACGAGATGAAGGTTTTGTATTTTAAATCAAAATCTACTCATCAATTTCATACATTTATCAAGGTAGGAATTAGATTAGTTCCACATATTACCTTGTAAATATTCCAGATTACATAATGTTTAAAAAGCATGATTGGAAGGCTCAAATTGCAGATGAGGGAAAAAACTAGTCGAACCAAATGAAAAATGATTTAGTTGTATTTAAGTGAAAAATTAATTTTTAAGTGTTGCGCTTTTCATTTTGCGAAAATTAGTGAAAAAAATTTCTATTTAAAATTTTAATTGGCCAAAAATATCTGAAATTGTACAAACATGAGTATTATCTGTGAGTGTAACATATCATTTGCTGAGTACAACATATCATCCATATGTTGTACTCACGGATCATATTCGTGTTTGTACAATTTCAGGTCATTCTGACCAATTAAAATTTTAAATAGAGATTTTTTTTTACCAATTTTCTCTTTATTTTTTGAATTAAATTTTGTTTAACATGTTTAAGAATGGGAAAAAGACAGAAAAATGCACCTCCAACTCCAAAAGCCCAGAAACGTCCACCCAATTCCACAAATCCCATTTTGGTACCATGAGACCAAATTGAGATTATTATGTGAAAGGAAAAGACCACATTACCCTTCATTTTGAATATTATTTTTAAAATATCACAGCCCCTATTGGCCGGCCGGTCACCGGACCTCCGGCAGCGGCGGTCACCGGAGCTCCGGTGACCAGCCGACAATTGGTCACCGGAGCTCCGGCAGTCGGAATTTTTTTTTTTGAAAATTTTTACAACTTCAATATAACGGTTAACAACTTTTGTAATGCCATTCACAACTTCAATATAGCAATTAACAACAGCTTTTTTGGAAAATTCAACAAACTTCGGCGACCGGAAACAATTATTTTGAAAATTTTTACAACTCCAATATAACCGTTAACAACTTTTGTAATGCCATTCACAACTTCAATATAGCAATTAACAACAGCTTTTCTGGGAAATTCAACAAACTCCGGCGACCAGAAACAATTTTTTTGAAAATTTTTACAACTTCAATATAACCGTTAACAACTTTTGTAACCCTATTAACAACTTCAGTATAGCGGTTAATAACTTCAGTATAGCGGTTGAAAAAACCTGTTGTTAACCGTTATACTGAAGTTGTTAATAGGGTTACAAAAGTTGTTAACCGCTATACTGAAGTTGTAAAAATTTTCAAAAAATTGTTTCCGGTCGCCGGAGTTTGTTGAATTTCTCAGAAAAGCTGTTGTTAATTGTTATATTGAAGTTGTGAATGGCATTACAAAAGTTGTTAACGGTTATATTGGAGTTATAAAATTTTCAACTTCAGTATAACGTTCACAATTACGTTTTTTTGAAAAATTTTACAACTCCAATATAACGGTTAACAACTTTGATATAGCAGTTAACAACAAGTTTTTAAATTCAAAAAGTGACATTTTTATAACTTCAGTAATGCCTTTAACAAACTCAAAAACCTGTTGTTAACCGCTATACTGAAGTTGTTAATAGGGTTACAAAAGTTGTTAACCGCTATACTGAAGTTGTAAAAATTTTCAAAAAATTGTTTCCAGTTGCCAGAGTTTGTTGAATTTCCCAGAAAAGCTGTTGTTAATTGCTATATTGAAGTTGTGAATGACATTACAAAAGTTGTTAACGGTTATATTGGAGTTGTAAAAATTTTCAACTTCAGTATAACGTTCACAATTACGTTTTTTTGAAAATTTTTACAACTCTAATATAACGGTTAACAACTTTGATATAGCAGTTAACAACAAGTTTTTAAATTCAAAAAGTGACATTTTTATAACTTCAGTAATGCCTTTAACAAACTCAAAAACCTATTGTTAACCGCTATACTGAAGTTGTTAATAGAGTTACAAAAGTTGTTAACCACTATATTGAAGTTGTAAAAATTTTCAAAAAAATTGTTTTCGGTCGCTTGAGTTTGTTGTTGTTAACCGCTATAATGAAGTTGTTAATAGGATTACAAAAGTTGTTAACCGCTATACTGAAGTTATAAAAATTTTCAAAAAAATTATTTCCGGTCGCCGGAGTTTGTTGAATTTCCCAAAAAGCTGTTATTAATTGCTATATTGAAGTTGTGAATGGCATTACAAAAGTTGTTAACGGTTATATTGAAGTTGTAAAAATTTTCAAAATAATTGTTTCCGGTCGCCGGAGTTTGTTGAATTTTCCAGAAAAGCTGTTGTTAATTGTTATACTGAAGTTGTGAATAACATTACAAAAGTTGTTAACCGTTATATTGAAGTTGTAAAAATTTTCAAAAAAAAAAAATTCCGACCGCCGGAGCTCCGGTGACCAATTGTCGACTGGTCACCGGAGCTCCGGTGACCGCCGCTGCCAGAGGTCCGGTGACCGGCCGGCCAGTAAGGGCTGTGATATTTTAAAAATAATATTTAAAATGAAGGGCAATGTGGTCTTTTCCTTTCACATAATAATCCCAATTTGGTCTCTTGGTACCAAAATGGGATTTGTGGAATTGGGCGGACGTTTCTGGACTTTTGGAGTTGGATGTGCATTTTTCTGTCTTTTTCTCTTTAAGAATTCACCCTCCAGAAGAATAGACGCGCCAAGGTCAAAAGTAAGTTTGCGGCTCTGCTTTTTATATACCACCATAAATCTTCTATGGATATATGACTCTAGGAAAAACGAGTGTTAAAAAGAAAACAAATTTCTTCATTCCCTCTCTCTCTCGCCGAGATACCGCCTTGCCGGTCAGTGGTCACAGTCACAGCCCAACCGGGACATAGACCCTTCATAGGGTCGGACGCGAGGCATCAAAACAGAAGGATTTTATCCGCCAGGCAGCTTTCGCGTACTAATCAAGCTTCCCTGCAGCACCAGCCATCAGGCGCCATACTTCACAATCTCAAACCCCTCTCTAGCTGGCCTCTCTGGAATTATCTCTTCAGCGCCATGGATCCGAACCCCGGAGCCTTCCCTCTTCTCTCCTACGTCATGAGTCGTCTCCCTTCTCTGGGCTCTACTTCCGGACCTTCCACCGCCGCTGAATTCGATATCGAACAGCCTCACCCTCCGCCGCCGCCGCCACCCCATCTTCATTCATCTTCTTCGCCTGAACCCGAAATTGTGGGCAAAATGCCTCACCTTACTGATCCCAAACTCTTAGCTGCCATGACCCGCGCAGTCTCCGAAGTCGCCCAGACCCGATCAGTACTCAAGCTCATTGGGGAGCGGCCCGACCACGAAGCTGTCGATCGTGCAAAGGCCAAGCTTGCGGATATTGAAGCCCTTTTGTCCAAGCAACTGGAGGAGATTGTGCTGTCCCCAAGGCCCGAGAATGTTGACATCCTTCAGTGGCGGGCTCATCAAGCTGAAAAGGAGAAAGAGTGCAGGGAATTAGCGGAGAAAGCAAAGCGGCCGTATAAATCACTGATACAGTTGGACGAGATGCACGATGCTTATGAGAAACTGCTTGGGGATGCTGAGAAGAGGCTGGTGGAAATCTACGAGTCTGATGGGCAAGTAGCTGCTGATAATGCCGAGGGCGAGAAAGACGAGCATGTTGGGCAGGAGGTTCACGAAGAGGTTGTCGGGATACTACGAGAGGCTTATGGAAAGGGGATGGAGAGATTGGATCTTTCAGGGCGGAGGTTAAGGTTGTTGCCTGAGGCCTTTGGGCGAATTCCTGGGTTGGTTGCGCTTGATCTTTCGAACAATCAGCTCGAGGTAAGCTTACTTGGTATTTGAACACTTACACTGTTCTTGCTATCACATGCGATTCTGTAGTATGATAATTCCATTTATGTAAGGAAATGGATGACCAAATCTTAGCCGCAGAAATTTCTATAACAGTTAATTATGCTTAATCTCAAACGTTTAGTTAGTCTACCTGAGGAATGTAATTTCAAACGTTCGTGCGATTCTGTAGTATGTTAATTCCATTTATGTGGAAACTTTCCTACCTCTGAACATTAGGACTAGATTTTATTTCCTTTTATTTTCCTCTTTTTTGCTGAATTCCATAGCCCTGCCTCCATCTGCTACACCGATGTAGCAGCTGGAGCTTTTATTTGAATCCCAGGGGTCTTGATGAGCCTGAACTTACCAGACTTAAATCATCTCGTCTCCTCAAATGTATTCAAAACCACAATGTACCCTTCATATATCTCAAAGGTCGCTCAATGAGTATCTACTGGACTGTGTATATACTGACAGAGTATATTAACTCAATAAGAGATTGCAAATGTGTAGCATATGTTATATCATCCTTTTGGGAGAAGTCCTTCAGCTGTATGTGTGGTGGTTTTCTTATCTTCTTCCAACTTGAATTTTTACATTTAAAGATTTGTTATGTTTGAACTTAGCAATCCTCCGGTAATTTTCCGAATCAGTTTTTACTGATTACATGGTCCCATCTCAGTAATTTTCCCACTTCGTTATTTCTGGTTGGAGTTGTACAAAAGTAAAGCTTAATTATGGACGTCGGATTGTTGAAATATTAAGGCATACGAGTATCATCTTATACTGGTTATTGTAAGTCCAAAATTACATTATTACTCCTGGCTTTGCTGGAGTAACTTGAAAACAACGATAAGAGTTCAAAACTGCTTTTAGTTTCATCTTCATCTTCAGAATCTATCTTGCTCATACTTTTATTTCAGGAATATAACAATAAGATAATTATCATTTACATATTTCTTAATTTTTTATTTCATTTTTTTATGTATTCTCATTCCTGATTTATTGACACATGAATTGATTTGTTAGTGTAAATGGATATTTTGGGGATCATATCCACTTCCAATCCAGAAATATGCGTCTCTGTGTGGCAGGATTGATGGGTTGAGAACAACTTTCCTTTTCAATGCATTGGCTTGATGTTCGATTAATATGTTAAAATTATTGTGCTAGTATGGATTTGCTTCTAAGTCAGCATTCTGTACAACATAACAGGCTATCCCTGATTCTATTGCTGGGTTGCAAAGTCTTGAGGAGCTTAACGTCTCTTCAAATCTTTTGGAGTCTCTTCCAGATTCCATTGGCTTGCTACAAAAGTTGAAATTTCTAAATGTCTCCGGGAACAAACTAAAGGCCCTCCCTGATTCCATCTGTCACTGCAGGTATGCGAGACAAACAGTTCTGCTATAGAGAAATTCATTATAGCTGCACTCTATATTATTATTGCAATTCTTAATTTGAGTGACTCAGGTTGACTTTGTGGTTTGGTATTCATGTCAAATTAACGCGGGCACTAATATGCTTTTGCTTTTGAATATGATTAAGTAGAGGATCACGTATGAGATTTTGAAAATACATTATCATCTTGAATTTGTGAGATTTTAACATGGACGATAATGTGCTTCGTTTCATCATGGTGTTCATCTTTCTTTTCTTCTTTTCTTTTTTAAATGATCTGCATGAAAAAAACTGAAGTAGTCGTTGGTCAAATTGTGACTGACCGGACTCAGGATCTGAAAACTTTAACTACGTGTTTTAAATGATCAGGTCATTGGTGGAGCTGGATGTAAGTTTCAATAGTCTGACATATTTGCCAACAAACATCGGATATGAACTGGTGAACTTGCAGAAGCTGTTGATTCAATTGAACAAGATTCGGTCTCTTCCGTCATCTGTTTGTGAAATGAGGGCCTTGCGCCTTCTAGATGCTCATTTTAATGAGCTTCATGGGCTTCCTATTGCAATAGGGAAACTGACTAATCTTGAAGTTCTCAACCTGAGCAGTAATTTCAGTGACCTTAGGGAACTTCCTGATACATTTGGTGATCTGACTAACCTCAGGGAGTTGGACCTCAGCAACAATCAGATTCATGCACTCCCTGACACATTTGGCCGCCTCGACAATTTGGTCAAGCTCAACTTGGAGCAGAACCCCCTGGAATTGCCACCAAAGGAAATTGTAGATGAAGGGGTTGAAGCCATAAAAACTTTTATGGCTAAGAGATGGGTTGATATATTGCTTGAGGAAGAAAGAAAAAGCCATGAAATGCAAGAACAGGCAGAGGCTGGCTGGTTAACACGAAGCACCTCCTGGTTGAAGAATTATGTATCTAGTGTTTCTGGAAGTGTCACCGGGTATCTGGGGTCACCTAGGACTCAAAGAGATCCTTGTCTTGATCAGCAGCTTTAAGGGGAGGGTGCAGTAGCTTATAGTCTGGATTCGGATGCTCTCATTTATGTGCATATCACTTAAATACCACCTGCTGGCAGGCATCAATGCCCTGTACCTCCTTTGGTTGCTCCAAATCCACTCTGCCTTGCTGAAAGCAGATGATAACAGACATTCTCGTGTTTTGCTTAGATTGTTTGATTGTCAAAGTTTAGCTGTAATCTTTTAGCCAAAGAAAGTTTAACTATAATTTCCCGATGGAGTAGCTACAGTTTCCAATGTACATTATTTACGAATCACCCAGTTTTAATTTCTCCGTGAGCATTTTCTATCTTCCTTCTCAAGCTTTTTCCTTCGAAATATCAGGAAAGAACGGAGGAAGTGGTGCGCTTTTGTGTTTGCGCATACGCGCGCGCAGTGGTGCGAGTTAGAACTGTTATGCGCGAATGGTTTCTTCCCACTGGTTAAAAAAGAAGCATGTGCTTAACTGATTTGAGTAAATTTGAGTACACAGCCCAAGCAACTATTACTAACAAATCTCCACCGTCCATTAAGTCATATAAAGCTCAACGTTTTTCCTTCACTTCAGAGGGGATTCTCTGGTTCACCTGAACCGTGTTTATTGGGCGGGAATCGATACTCCAGTTCAGGTGATTCTGTCGGTGGATGTCCATCTCAAATGAAAAGAGCCATTAATCATGGAACTGGAATATATTTGGAGTCACCAACGGAATTAAGTCTAGCGAATGGGATTCGCATTTAGTACTAGATAGTGTTTTAAATAGGATTGTTTCGAATAAAAATATACCTATGCTTTAGTTTTTAAAAAAAAAAAAACTCTACCCCATCTTTTATTTTATTTCTTCTGCAATAATCACAAACACTCTTCAAACTATGGATCCAGTAATCAAAATTCAATTTGTAATTTTAGCATCCAAAGGATGTTACTGAATAATCTTATTTTTCAGTTATTCCTAAATGTATTTGGAGTCAGAACATTCCTCGTACAAATACATGTATTTGTAAGGCCAAGGCCCGATAAAAGAGATTTCAAAACAATTAATCCCTGGCTAAAGACGAGGACCACTTATCAATGGTCAGATAACACCTTGTCAACATATCTTCAACGCAACTGGTAATTTGTCAATATTCGGCCTGCACCACGTCTAGATATAGTGATATACTACCTCCGGCTTTTAATATAAAGCTTTATTTAATTTTTATTTTGATCCTAATTATAAGACCTCAATTTATTTTGTCTCTCATATTTATATATATTTTTTAAGGTAGTCTTTTTAATAATAGTAGTTCTAACCAATAAACTTCATTAGTAAAGATATTTTAAAAAAGATAACACCTATTTATTATAAATAACTAATTTAAATTATTTTCTTAATCTTTTCAAATTCATCGATTAGCTTTTATATTTAGAACTAAAGACAGTATTAAAAACAAAGCAAGACACAGGCTTGGACAAATGAGAATTCTGCTAAACTTCACAAACATGAACAATGCGTCCACACAATTGGCTCACAGAACTTAAATACATACTCCAAGACAATAGTGTGGCAAACAATTACCTTTCACTCACAACTCGACCATCGTCTTCATAAAGCTTAATCGCGAGAAAAAACAGGACTGTCGCCTTCCATTGAATAAATGAAGAATTGCTTGGCTGAGAAGATTGCAGAAATCGGCTTCGATGTGGACATAAATGAAGTCCAACGGCCAGTGCCGACATGCGCGGGAACTTCACTTCGATGGTTGCGGGTGGTTTATTTTGCCCCGACGCTCCTATTGATTTCAAATTAAGGATATTTCAATCTTTTTTTTTTTTGTTCTAACTGATTCTCAGTTGATTTCCTAGAACTTGCGGTAATGTTTTCAGAATTTCTGGATTCTGATTTGCGGATAAATTGCTTCAACGGTTCTATGCTGAAATTCTTTCCAAGGTCGAATGTATTTTTATATAAAAATTAAAAATGAGATTGTGAAATATTATTTTTTTATACAATTTTTTTTTTAATACGGTGAAATTTGAAGAGAGAAATCACTGCGCGAGATGAACGCAACAGATCTCAGCGGGTCCCACGGCTAGCTTTGCAACGAAGAAATAAAAAGTCAAAAGAAAATTTCTTATCGACCAAGCCAACAGTAACTATATATCATACGATTCGCGGCTTGCTAGTTTGTATTCGGACCCAACGGAGAAACCAGAGCGTCGATAGCGGCTGACCGTGACGCCTCCCGTATTTTGGTATCTGCTTGCCTTTCTTGTTTCTAATCCGAAGCTCTTCTCTGCCTAGGGTTAGGGTTTGGACTCTTTGCCTCTTGCTTCACTGCTACGCGTCCTGTGGTCGGTGCACGGCCCTGGTGCTCCTGAGCTATGGAGTCTACTCTAGTGATCAAGGTTTGAATTTTCAGTTTCTATTTCCCTCATCCTGTTATGTTGTTTGGTTTTCAATTTTGTTACTTTTTCTCCGAGCTCTTTTGGGAAAAACGTGGCCTTCGGAGTTTTGCAGGATTTTGGATGCGTTCATCGCTCGTTTTGTTTTTAATTTGCCATATCCTTTAATTTCTTTCGAATTTATCTCATTGGATAGATGGATGGTGAAATTTTTCCTGATAATTTCCTCCAGAGCGCGAAATTATGCTTTACCTTCACAAATTTCGCAGGTTTTTGGTTTCATTTGTGGAATATCGGAAGCTATCTAGTTTTCTTCAGAATACAGTTTTGTTCTTTGACTTATCTGAATGTTTATCGACTCTCTCTTGTTTATTTGTATTTGATTTTCGTTTTAGCATGTTCATAATCTATAATCACGCATCTCTAACTCAACATCTATTGGGAGGATTGAATCCGATTGTCTTATATTATACCCACACTCACACGCATATACTTTTTTAACACCAAAGCAAATTGTGCCTTTTTTTAATGTTATTAGCCGATAGTTGGTGTAACTTTTAACTTTGCAGGAAATAATTTGGCTTTTTTTTAAAAAAAAAAATTTCTGCTCTTGATTTTTTTTTTTTAATTTTAATTTTCTAGCTTCACTACTGACGAAGTGAAAGCGTGGCTCCACTATCATATAATCACAAATCACAAATATTTTCTTGTTTTTCATTATTTTTAACAGGTCAAATTTGGAGATACCCTCAGGCGCTTCAATGCTCGCGTAGATGAAAATAATCAACTGGATCTTGACATGGCTAGGTTGAGGTTCAAGATATGTTCTCTTTTCAATATTCCCCTTGAAACCAATCTCGTGCTGAGATATGTTGACGAAGACGGGGATTTGGTGACGCTGGTGGACGATGATGATCTCCTTGATGTGATGAGGCAGAACCTAAAATTCTTGAAAATTGATTTACACATGATGAATGATAATGCTAGTAAAGCAAATTCAATGGCTAGTGGAAGTTCTACTCCCTTAAGGTCCCCTCGCATCTTGAATCCATTTATGGGGAATGGAAACACTACCCTTTCTGATGATTTGAAATCTGTTCCGGAGCCAGTACTTGAGTTCCTTTCTAATTTATCTCTAAACTTGGCTTCCAAGGCTGCATCTTCTAGTCCAGTGGTTGGTTCCCTTATGGATTCTATAGCCAAATTGGGACAATCCATGGGTAATTCAAACTCACGGCCTGTGACTGCATCTGTTATTGAGTCCAAAAGTGATGCTTGTAAAGAATCTGTCCCACATGTTCCAAGTTGTCCGCAGCCTCCATCTGCAGACTCACCTTCTGAAGCCAATCAACAGTTAAATGAAAATGTTACTGGAGGTGTAGCAGCACCGGTTGCTCCTGTTGATCTCAATGTTGCCCCCTCTGATTCTAATCCACCTAAATTCTCATATGTGGATGCTGTGCGAGTTTCATCTACGGCTCCTGAAGGTGATAGTGAAAAGGGTAAGAAAGCTGCCAATGACAATATGAAGTGTAAAGGTGGTAGTCCTAGGGCATCCACTAGTCAGGCAGCTCCTGGGAACTTTTCAACTCAGTCTCCACCAATTGGTTTCAGTCCTTTTGTCGAATGTCCCTTTTCTGGGTTAAGTGTTGTTGATTCAGCAGCACGTTCTTTTGAAAACCATCGGGGTCATCCATTTAAAAGGAGCTATAGTCACACTGAAGCCATGGGTGGCATGTTCCATAAGGGTGTCCGCTGTGATGGATGTGGTGTTTATCCCATAACAGGACCTCGTTACAAATCAAAAGTGTAAGAACTTTGTTTATATGTCACCAGTATTGTGAAATGGCTTTCAATGATTTTTTTGCAGAGGGTCATAACAGTTTTTCTTCTTGCAGGAAAGGAAATTATGACCTCTGCAGCATCTGCTTCGCTGAAATTGGTAATGGAACAGATTATGTCAAAATTGATCGTCCTTTACCCTGCCGTCGCCCAGGACCCTTCAAGATTCTGAATGATTATCGTCATGTATGAATGTGAACTTTTTTTCTACATTGTCGGCCTGCTTGGCTTTATGCATGTGCTGATTGTTTCTTTTCTCTTACCAGCCAATGGCACATGTTCTTAGAATGAGAAAAAATCTTATGAACCAGGTGACATCAAAGACCAAGATAGACAGCAAGTTCATTTTGGATGTTACGGTAATAGATGGTACTTTAATGGCCCCATCTACCACATTTACAAAGATTTGGCGGATGCGCAACAGTGGCACAGTACCATGGCCAAAAGGATGTCAACTTGTTTGGATTGGAGGAGACAAATTTAGCGACTCTCATTCAGTTAACTTAGAGGTTTTTTGGATTCACATCTTGCAGTTTGATCATTCCTTTAATCAATGAGCTTTCCTTGTGTTTCTTATTCTAGACTGTTTTGTCTTTTAATCTTCTGACTTCTTCATCTTCTAAAACATGCCACAGATTCCTATGGAAGGTCTACCTGTGGACAAAGAGCTTGACATTGCTGTTGAGTTTAGAGCACCAGAGTCTCCCGGTCAATACATTTCATACTGGAGGATGGCATTCCCTACTGGCCAGAAGTTTGGACAGCGTGTTTGGGTTCTTATTCAGGTAAATCAGATTTGTGGGCATTGAATTTCTTTTCAATTATTTGGCTAAGCATTGGTTACTGTTGTTTAACGGTTCTATGAAATTGCAATTATGTTTTTACCTTACACTGTAGGTGGATCCTTCACTGAAGGAGTCATTTTATGATAACTTTCAAGGCCTAAACTTGAATATGCCACTTGAAGAAAGTGGTTCCAGAGGGCCAAATAATATAGATATCAACGTTCATCCTGAAGTGGACGAGGCCTTTCTTCACTCCTGCAATTCTAGTGCTCCCGAAGAATTTGGCAAGCAACAGGTTGATGAGCAACCCAGGCAAGAGCCGGGAGAAAATATCTTTAAGGATGGAGCTAAAACTGTGGGCCTTGGTGGCTTGCCCCCAACAACGTCTGGGCAACACACCGCTATTTCCTACCCTGTTGTTGATTTTTCAGATGCAGCTCCTGTTGTTGTCTCTAATCCGCAAGCCCCTTGTGTTGGTGCATTGACATCGTCCTCCAGAATAGATGGAGATAATTCCATAGAGGAGACTCTGCTTAAGGAACTTGAGGAGATGGGTTTCAAGCAGGTTGATTTGAACAAGGAGATCTTGAGGATGAACGAGTACGATTTAGAGCAGTCAGTGGATGATCTTTGCGGTGTTTCTGAATGGGATCCTCTTCTTGATGAATTACGGGAGATGGTAAGTTGTTTTTGGACGGTATTTCATTGCATATGTTGTTGATGCCGCTTGTTCTTTTCCTTAATCTTCCGTGCCTTTTATGTTTTTAACACCTGATTAATTTTTGAATTCAGGGCTTCCGCGACAATGAAGTCAACAGGAGGCTGCTGAAGAAGAACAATGGAAGCATCAAACGTGTTGTTTTGGATTTAGTGAATGGGGAGGATCATTAGATGAAACGTCTTTCATATTTCAACGGTAGTTTTACCCCCGGTGGTCTATGGCATTCAGTAATTATTGAGTACTAAGTATAAACTCCTGAACGAGTTGGCCTATCTTATGTTCTTTTAAGTTTTTGTCAATAAATGTATATGGTATCCGACGTAGGTCGCATAATAATGCATATGTAAGTAAGTTATTTCGATTAAGCCGATCTAGATTTTCTGGGCCATGATTTCGACTCTCTTGGCTTGCGACTTCGCGTTGTGCATGTTTTCTCTTATGGCCTGGTTGTGCCTTGCATATTAATTTGCCGCATTAAACTTTCGCTCAAAATAGTTTTCCCCCGTTGGCTGATAGACAAAATTAGCTCTGTTGGATGCATGAAATTTTGACCTTAAGGTATTGTGTGTGGTTTAGGTGGTGGTCATATTCGGAACAGATCTAAACGCAAGATACATTTTCAATTAATAAAAATGGTATAACCTTGGGAAAAGAAGGGTTATGTTTTACAAGATATTTGGCTGGAAAAAAAAAAGATTATATTTTTAAGATAGATTTTCAACAAAGAAGCGGAGCTGTATATTTTTACATCTAAATAATTTTGAGAATGATTAAAATCAAAATCACCATTTGTTTTGAAAAATTATCGGATGTATTTAAAAATATGTATCGTATTATTTTTTTTAAGCAGCCAATATTGATTAACTCAATAAATTCCTTTTCTCCTTCGCTTTCTTGGCGAGATAACGGATTAAGTTCACTTTGGCATTTAAAAATAAACTAATTAATTTTCTAAGCATTTAGAATTTTAGATAGGTAGTCTGTATTCAAAACTTAGAATTTTAGATGGGTACTCTGTATTTAAACCAACCCAACTTTCTATGAAATGCTCCCTCTAGTTCTAAATGCATAAATTAATTGAGAATTTTGTTTTAACCAGATGCAAGTTTTTAATATTTCTTATCTCTCACATTTATTTATTTTTCAAACAAATATTATATAGATAATTTCTAAGGTAAATAATTAAAACGAGAAAATTTTAAAAATCTAACACATTTTTTTTATAAATAACTAATTAAAATAATTTTTTATTTATATAAATTAATTATCTAACTTTATATACAAAATTTTTACATTTAAGATGTTTGATCAAGTTCTATTTTTTAGAAAGGGTTAATAACTTCATATAATTTTTAATCCCTTCAAATTTCAAATAATAGGTTTTGGTCTTTTAAGAGGCAAAATGATTCAAATTTTTATTAGATTATAAGAACTAATGTTTAAGAAATCAAAACTTATTATTTAAAATTTAAAGAATAAAACCTAAAAATTAAATTTAAAGGATCAAAATTTTTATTAACCCTCTTTTGAAAAAATCTCGCAATAGCAACAACACTTCGGAGCTCCATGGAATTGAGGGGCGGGTCAGATTTCCATGTCCGTGATTTTCCCGCCTATTTTGAAAGGAATCGCCCCAATTGTTCCCCTCTCTCCCCGTTTCCAGAGAAAACCACTGGCAAAACAATGAGCTCTTCCATGGAGGTTACCCTGCAAAATCCCCCAGTCGACGAAACGTCCGAACAAAATGGTGTCGCCACCCAAGACCCAGCTCCTTCTCCCATGCTTTCCGAAGAGAAGGTTATCGTCTCTGGTACCATGAAATCATCCTCACCTTCTCGCTCCGCGTATAGAGATTCGTTTAGTTTCAATTCTTCCAAGTTATGATATATTTTTCGTTTAACTCTGTACCTATCTTCCTGTACCAGTCGAAGTATGTTTGAAACCTTCAAGTACAGTTCGGATCGAGGATGTCCGTTCAGCCGTTGAGAGGTCAGCCATTTTATTTGTGCTCACTGACTCCAAGCTGTTGTTTTTCAGGGAGGTTCTGGGCGCATTCTGATTTCAAAAGTTATGTTAATTGTTACTTCCCGATTAGTTTTTCCAATTCTATTATTTTGTTTATCAACTTTAGCTGTGGATAGTTTAAGACTGAACGGGAAGATTAATTACGTCTTTATCTTCTGTATTATTTATACCAAAATCTTATAACCGATATCTATGATTTTCAGGATGCTCGAGAACAGGTGTTTGAGCTATATTGATGGACCCATTTCCCTGCCTCATGACGACACGTTTCTTTCAGAAAACGTGCAAAGAATCTGTATTTGCGATACTGGTACCTCACTTTACCCCTATGTGACGTTTAATTGACATAATTACTCTTTGGTGGAAGTTAACATCCTCCAGATTTCTTATTCTACCAATTTAGAAAAAAACACGAAGATCCTCTCTTTAAATTATTTGCAAGCAGTCACTTTTATTCGGATAATAGTTCCTTGTTCTAAAGCAAACCTGGAAGCAGATCATGGGTCTATCATTGGAATCTCAAAGCACATTGTAACTGTATATAAAATGGTCAAATTATGCGAATGTTTGTGTTATTTTTTTTCCCCAAAAGACAATATGCATGACGTTTGGGGAGTTTTTCACAACACAAGTTTTTTTAAGCCTGGAGAGTTTTTGACAATCTTGTTCCCCTGGATTTGGGGCCAGATAATTTTGGCAAGACCTTTCTATCTGGATTCATTTTAGCAATAATTCAAAAAGAAATAAACGGCTTGTTAAAAGAATCCAATTTATTGTCGCTTTAAACAAGAGAGTTATTGGTTCGACGATAGATGTGAAAGTCGCTGAACTTCAAACAGAAGTGAGGAGGTCTGCTTTTCATACACGCAAAAATTGTATGGTGCACTGATCTGAAGCTACCACGTTCAATTTGTAGATGAGTCGGCGAGCAATCACAATATTCTTTTGTTCTGGCAAGTCAAGCCTGATGTGCATGTGTTTCAGGTGATACTGCTCAACTGGCTTGTTTAGTTCTCGATAGATGGCATATTCTAGTTCGACTAATATGTTCATAGAATTTGTAGCTACATGATTTCTTCTTACTTATGACTGCAACTTGCTCATATACCATCCTCATTTATTAGGGAATGAATCGTCTGGGTTAAGCATGGATTACTTTGTTCTATATAAAATATCTTTCCACAACTTTTTTCTGTCACTCTAGGTCAGAATCTCTATGTTAAACTACATTCAGTTAAAGTGCATCCCAGAGTTATCAATATGGTCCGAATTTTTCTTTGTCAGCTTAGTGAAGAAGGACCATGCGAGGATATAAGCACTGATGGCCAACCTTCCAGCTTCAATGAATGGATTCTTCCGGCAAAAGAATTTGATGGCATGTGGGAAAGGTTCATAACGAGCTTTTATTCAATTAATCGTAACTTCCAAGCTACTATCGTTTTCTTTGGATTATATTCTGGTTCTGCATTAATTTATCCTGGAACCACTGGTTTTGCAGCTTAATATATGAATCTGGTCTCAAGCAAAGATTATTAAGATATGCAGCGAGCGCTTTGCTTTTTACTGAAAAGGGCGTCGATCCCTTTCTGGTCTCATGGAACCGGTAATCTTTCAAAGTATTTCTTTAGGTTTGCATTCCCTGCTTTTGGTCGTCAATTCTGAAGCTTCATTTTACAATATTGTGCAAGTCCATGATCTTGCCCGGTGGGTAGTCAGCATGATATTTGCTCAGGAAATGATGACCAAATTTGGCTTTAGGACGTCCCAAAAATCTACGTTGTATTAGTGATTGAGCCGGGCAATTGTGAAGCGACCTCTTTCAAATTTTTTTAAATAAAAGACTTGGAGGTCACTTCTTATTACAATGTCAAGAGAACAAAAACTTGTTGATGGTGGCACTTAATTCAACCTGCTTGTCGGGACTGCTACCAAAATTGAAGAATTTGGAGCTTAAATAATATTGTTCAGGCTGTTTTATTTATAGAAAGATGAACGATAAATATTCAGTTGGTTGCCTTCTTATTAATCTTGTTCTGCTGCTGTGCTTGATTTCATCCATAAGTAACATCGCCTGTGTAGATCTCTAAGTATTGGTTGGAAGCTGATCTTTAGACTTTTTCATGAGATGAATGAACTACACAAAGTATCAGCATCAGAAGCGGTACAAACTGTTGTTAGACCCTTTCTTTCCGCCGTGTCATTGTACTGAGAAAAAGTTTAATTGTCTCTGCCTAGCCTCTTTTACGATGATACTGCATTTTGAGTTCCCTTTTTTCAACTGGTCTTCAGGCATCAACGCTACCTATGCGCCAACACACTCTTTAACACCTCGATTTAGCTTCATATTGCTGACAAGTTAGTTTTAATGCTCAAATGAAATAATCTTGAATGTGTCATGATAATTGCAGCATTGTTCTCTTACATGGACCTCCTGGGACTGGAAAGACGTCTTTATGTAAAGCATTAGCACAAAAATTATCCGTTCGATTCAATCAAAGGTGCATAAATCTACATTTCTAATAATTTCTTCAGTCTTTTGTGTGAGTGTATTCTACCAATTGGTGAAAACAATGGGTCAAAAATGAATTCACTAAGTTTCTGGTTTGAATTCATTCAGATATCCCCAGTGTCAGCTGATTGAAGTTAATGCACATTCTTTGTTCAGTAAATGGTTCTCTGAAAGTGGCAAGCTGGTATACTTGTGCGCCTTTACCTTATACTTCTGCCTCTTCCTTTGATCTACCTTTCGCTTTTCCTTCATGCATGTGCTGAATAGGAGCTATGGTGCTTGATGTGTCTGTGAGTTGCATGTTCGTTTTCTGTGTCGTGACAATTTTGGACATATCTATGACAAAACACACTTGAAAACACGTCTATCAGTGCTTAGCGGGATTCTGACCGTGTACAACCTGGAAATGAAGAAAAATTGTACATTGGTCGACCAATATTAATACTGATATTAGTACAAAAAGCAAATAACTGTTTATTTATGGCTGATTAGTTAAGGTTCTTTAACTCTTTGATTTATACAGCTAGATCTAGGGTACAAGTGGAAAAAGAGCTCAGTTCATTAGCTCCCTAAGCAAAATAAAATATTAGTGAAAATTATTCGCAAGTAAAAGACCAAATTACCGAGACAGAAGAGGAAACAACGCTGAACAGAACTTAAAACGTAAATCAGCGATCAGCTACAAAAAACATCCACACGCGAACGCACCCGGTCAAGTCTGAAGTTAGAGACTAGAAATTCTGAATTTTAGCTTTCTAGTCAGGTTTTACTTTAACATCGACTGTACATGAAAAGGCCGGATGCCAAGAGTATTGTGCCATTACATCCATTTAAGAATTTGTGATGTTCATGCGACGGTGTTAATATGTCGAAATGCAAAACTGCCAACCCAGAAAATATGCAGTATACCTTCGAGGAACTGTCTTTGTACAACTTTTGTCATATTGATAAATGATAATGTCTATATCTTTCATGGAACATTCTTATAGGTTGCAAAGCTTTTCCAAAAGATTCAAGAAATGATAGAGGAAGAAAACAATCTGGTATTTGTTTTGATTGGTGAGTCATAATATGACTTGGCTTAATGGTCACGTTACAATCACCCTTGTGCATGCTTGATTATAAATGCTTGTGATCCCGCAGATGAAGTTGAAAGCCTTGCTGCTGCCAGAAAAGCTGCTCTATCTGGTTCTGAACCTTCAGACTCTATTCGGGTAAAATCTCCCTCCCCTCCTCCGTACGGGAGTACAAGAAAGACTAATGTTCTGTTCGTCTCCTTTTGAACAAATATAAAACGTTATACAAATGTATAGATATAAAATCCAGACGTATGAGCTGTTTTTTCTTTTTGGTGTGAATTAGTGTACACTGAATCCGAATCTGCAATTTCAGGTCGTCAATGCATTGTTAACTCAGATGGACAAGTTAAAATCTTCTCCAAATGTGATAATTCTAACTACATCCAACATAACTGATGCTATCGGTGAGCCTAAAATTTCCCTCATTGACTTAGTTTATTCCTTCTTCGGTTTCCACTTCCTCTCTTCAGTGCCGGTTGGAACGGACAATTTACAAGCCGCAGATCATTCATATTTATCAGTTACGTTGCAGATATTGCTTTTGTTGATCGAGCTGATATCAAAGCATACGTTGGTCCTCCAACTCTTGAAGCTCGCTATGAAATATTAAGGTCGTGCTTGGAGGAATTGATGCGCACAGGGATCTTGACAAGTGTACAGGTGCGGAGTGTTATCGTTAATCTGCAGGAAATCCAACACCAACCTCCCCTTCCCCTCCCCCCCCCCCCAAAAAAAAAAGAAAAAGTAATCGCGCTGATAATTTGCAATCTTTATTCGTTTTCGAGGTTGTTTCATTAATCTGATGACTAAAATTATCCAACCCACACCCCACCCAAAGATAATCGCGTTGATAATTTTTAATCTTTATTCGTTTTGGAGGTTGGTTCATTAATCTGGTGACTAAAATCATCCATAATTGGTTAGGATTGTGTGAACATCAAACTTCCAAATTATGCTAATGCGAAGGAAAAGTTGAACACGCCTCAGAATCATGAAGCCGCCCAACTATGTAAACATTTACTTGAAACTGCAGAGGCATGTGAGGTAGGGACCAAAAATAACTATGAATATTTGACCTTCGCAATTTTTTTTCAATTGAACTTGAATGTTGCCTTTAATCTGTTTGCAGGGAATGAGCGGAAGGTCTTTGAGAAAGCTTCCATTCTTGGCACATGCTGCCCTTGCCAGTCCTTCAGATTGCAACCCATTTAAGTTCTTATGTACAATGATAGAAACAGCGAAGAGGGAGCGCTCTGAGCTTCCCGACTGAAATGCTCGACTGCAATACAATATGATAAATGTATTTACAGCCACAATATTCTATTTATATAACATACAATGAATGACTGATCCCGTAGCGAGTAAGCTTGCTCATAAAAAATGCTTTGACCTCAGGAAAGCCGAATCCTTTTTCTGGACTCACGAGCAAGACCAGTTAGATTGTGGACACGAGACTCTTAACCCAGATGATCCAGTATGAACAGGATGCGTATATTCCACGTTCATTTTTTTTTTGGTTACAAGGGGCAGGATCGAACCCGCACGCGCACACCCCACACACACCCATACCACTAGGCCAAACGGCCGGTGGTATATTCCACGTCCATTTGACTGCACGGCATCACATACAGGTGATCAAGCAGTTAAGGATGGCTCAACCCGAACACACTCGGGGATGGATGCCTCCACTTCGTGAGAATCAAGCTAAGCTTGCGTTCTGACAGGTCTCAATATTTTGCTCATGGGTGGTCAATATTATTAACAATACGTAAAAACAAGCATATTTTCCCTTTTTATTTTGCAATAATCTCCCAAGTCCGATTTTTAAAAAATTGCAACGAGAGGACAATGGAATGCTTATCAATTAAGGTCCACAGCTTCCTTAAAGTGATGCATTGATACTGCGACCACCTGCTTTGCTCTAAAGGGAGTAAATATGCGTAAAATGAAGTTGGAATTTAATTAGAACAATAACAAGAAGAATCACAAATATCATAGAAAAGCTTTTAAGTTGAACTAATTTAGAGTGAAATACATCCCCCTTACAATTTATTTCTTACGTAATTTCACAAGCTTCTACGTCCAATTTATTTACGAGTGTACACGAGTTGTAACAGGAACCTTAAGAAGAAAATTGCCGTTAACAGCATTAGTGATACCTCACCGCCTCTTGCAACTCATCAACGACGCCTACCATCATCACGTCATGTCTTCGTGAATTTCCAACAGGAAAAATATATAACATTAAGATCCATCCAACTTGATCAAATTTGATTACAATCTTTATCTGAAGAAAGTTTGTTACATGCTGCGGAAAATTTTTCTAGGGATGCAGAAGCAGTTGTGCTACTCTTCGCAGAACCAAAAAGTTCGCAAATTTTATTGTGCGTACGTATGTGTGGAGGGCACTTGTAAAGCAGATCTTTGGCCTCATAATGTCTGCCTTCTTTGAAGAAGGACTCAAATATGTGAAGGTAAGTTGAAGAGGACGGGTAATTTTTCACACTCAATACCTTCAGAAATTCTTCAGCATCCGTTACAGTTCCTGCCTGTGAGATATACTTCACAAAGGGTTCAGAAAATGGAGGGAAGTTATGTTGCTTCATCAAACGAAGAAGCTCTAGTGCCTCATCAAGTTTGCTGACCTCTAATAGCTTGTTAATCAGCTTCTTGTATGTAGCTTGCCAGGGAGATACATGACACTTACCAACTATCTCTAAAAGCAAATTGTATGCACCATCTATTTTCTTTTTATTGAGAAAACCATCAACAAGAACATCCAATAGATCAGCATCTGCTTCACCGCCCTTCTCAATCATCCTTGCAAAACAAAGTAAGGCCTTTTCAACTTCATTAGCAGCACAATGCCCTTGGATCAAAATAGTCCAAGTCTTGATATCAGGAATGCATCCACAAGATTCCATCTCATCCAGCACTCTACACGCTTCTTCAAGTCTTCCCACTTTACAAAGTCCAAAAACCAATTGACTGTAGGTGATGTTATCAGGCTCATAGCCATCATTTCGCATAACCTCAATGATCTTTTCAGCTTCATCAAATTTCCCAGCACCTGTCAGTGACCTGTGGACACCATCGTAGATTGCCTTGGAAAGTGTATGCCCGCAAGACGCATATTTTTTCACCACTCGATCCACTAAATCTAAATTTGGAGGATCACCTCCAGAGATGCACTTTAGAAGGACACTGCAATCCTGAGTAGATGGCTTATATGGGCCATCCATCATAAGCTCATAAAGCTTAACAGCGTCCTCAATCATCTTGTTCTTTAAAAAATTTCTAGATATTTTTACATAAGTATCAATATCCATTTCATGACCCCCACTCTTCATCTCCTCAATGATACTCCAAAACTCCTCAATTGAATCATCTCTTGCAATAACTCTAGCAACTGCATTATAAGTCACTGAGTTGTGCTCATAATCAGAGCCCTTCCCAACCCAATGAAAGAATTTGAAGGCTTTTAAAGGGCAATGCCGAAGTTCTTTCAAGACCCTTAAAACAAAATTATCAGACGGCAGAATTTTAAGTCTTGCCAGATCGTTCTCAACCTCAGGAGTCCATTCTGATCCTGAAATGACATCAACCACCTTAGCAACAACATTTCCCATTGCACTTTCCTGCATCATCCGATTATAGAAGTGGGTAAGAGCAACAGAATCACCCTCCATCTTTGCCATCTTAAGAGTCCTTAAAATTGTCACGTAAGCCTCCTGATCAATGAAAAAGCCTTTCTCCTTCATCACCCTTAGGGTTATCCAGAATTGTTTCATGGTCTGCTTTGTCGCTAAAATCCTAAGCAGTAAGCTATACATTGACGAACTTGTTATAAACAAGTTCTTATTGTTAACCCAGTTGAAGAAGCCAAAAACTTTTTCCGGATTTTTTTCAAGTTTCTTCAAAATGTATACAACAGTTTCATGCGTCATAGAGGGGCAAGATTTCTGTAACTCACCTTCCAACCCATCAGACCAATCGTTGGCTAAAAGAAGCTCCACAACAGAGTCAGGTTTTGATGATAAGTAGAGCTTTTGATTAAAGCAAGAGGGATGAAAAGCATGATACCGGGGCTCAAGGGGAGACGTATAAAGAGAGAAACGAGTCGCCAGGTGGCTCAATGATTGAGTAATGCACATTTGGCCAGCGTATAACGAATCAATGGTTTTAAGGAAACCATAAATTGCCTTCACCCCCCTCATCACTGCACGGAGGGATAACACAATTGTTACCGTGTTACATCAATAACGCCACAATTCAAAGAGGAAGAAGAAATCACCACAAGAGCAGTAAGCACAAATAATCTCAGTACACATTCTTTCATTAAATTCTTGATTTTCAATTTCAACACCAACATATAAATTGGCCGAAATTCAGAACAGATTTCGACACTTAATGGTTGGCTGTAACGTCTGAAATTTTTTCTCTATCTCAAAGTGTATGTCAAATTACATGAACAGAACTGCAGGAAAACATAACCAGACGAACCTCCAGAAATATGCTCTTAAGAATGTAGGTCGTGACATCAATTATGTGACCACCTAAAAGGCCAGATTCATATCGATGACAACCAAGGCTGTCAAAACTGGACCGCCTGGAACTGGTATCTGGTCCGGTCCGGAACAAGGCCAAAACTGGTGGAAAACTAGTCAGCACCGGTCATGAACCATTTTTTTTTTTTAAATTCTAATAACCCAAAACTATGTTATTTTGTGTTTTGATTTGTTTTTATATGTATACATATGATGATTCAATGATATTTTAGTTAATAATTGAAGTTTGTGTTGGTTTAGTTGGACTATCAAATGATTTTACTGATTTGTAATGGATAATAAATTATAAACTATTATTATAATATTGATATTATTGACTATAAATTTGACATATATAATAACAACGTTATTTTTATATACATTCTCTAAGTGAATTGTTGCCCCAATCAGTTCAATGACTGGCTTGTTGACAACATTGATGATAGAAAAAGAGTGTCTCCTGCATTTTTTTTTCTCTGAGCTATGAAACTCATACATTCTTTCAAGGTAAATAGACAACCTGACGTGAAAACCAAATGCAGCAGATATGGGGTATTCACTATTCAAATTCTAAAATCATAAATTTGTGTGGAATATAGCAGTCAAACCAATTGAGCAAGGTTAACCAAACTCAAAAGAATCGAAAATGCAAAACAGGCAGGGTGAGTAAGAGGGAGAACGAACCAGAACGGAGGAGATGCCGAGATGCAAAACTGAGAACGAGTAGACGAGCTTCACTATGAGAGAGAGACGACGGCGACCACGACAGAAGAGACTCGGTGAGCTTAACCCGAAGGGAAAGACGGAAAAGAAAGAGACGCGAAACTACGACCACGACGGAGAGGGAGATGGAGACGAGCAACCACGACGGAGAGAGATACGAGGCGCCGAGGTTGCGGAAGGGGAAGGGGAAGGGGAAGGAGATATCAGAGAAGCAAAGCAAGAGAAAGTGAAGCCAACCAGCTGGCTCGGTCCTTTTGCAATTCCATGGTAATCTGGGCTTAGGGTTCAGGCTGTGAGGTGGGCTTGTCATCCGGTAAGGGGTACGGAACAGCTCCACAAAATCATTTGGATCCGCATAACCGGATTTGTTTTGATGAAGGAAAGTATATTTTTGTCCTTCACTTTTAACATTATTTTTTTGGGTTAAGGTGCAATTTTAACAACAAAATTTACCCTAAGGAGCACTGGGCACCATAAAATTTATTTGGGTGCAAAAATATACATGAAGTTGTCAAAAGGGAGCATATGGCACCATGACGTTAACGTTTGTCAGTTTACCGTTAGAGGGGCCCAGAAAGTCAGTTTTAAGGTGCATTTTTAACAACAAAGTTTGCATCAAGGGGCATTAGGCATCATGAAATTTACTTGGGTGTAAAAATATACATGAACTTTGGAAAAGGAAAAAAATAACAAAATTCTTCAACTTCCATAAACATCCATTAATTTTATTCTTTTCAGTCTCACCAAATACTATATTTTCTCTCTATAAATTTCTACTTCTAACCCGATCCATCTTTCTCTCATCATAGTCAACACGCACACTCTCTCTGTTATGTCGTTTTCTGAGCCTCCAAGCCTTTTATATGTATTTAAGCAAAACACATCTTTCCCTTTTAGGATATGAGGTTCATTACTTGCACCCGAGTACTACCTCTAGTTCTTAATATAGGATACAATAGACTAATTTGAGGAGATTAAAATAAATAAATAAATTACTTTAAATATTATATTATTTATTTATTTGACGCAATAACATATAGTACATGATCTCTCTAAAATATTTATATGCATCATTAAATTATATATTAGTTTACAAGCCAAGAAAATTAATTTGGAGAAAAAGCAATAAATATAATATGTTAAAGTTATTTATTTATTTATTTTTAATCTCCTCAAATTAGTCCATTGCATCCTATATTAAGGATTGGAAGTAGTACTCAGGTGCAAACAATAAACCTCATATCCTAAAAAGGAAAGATGTATTTTGCTTAAATACATATAAAAGGCTTGGAGGCTAAGAAAACGACATGACAGAGAGAATGTGCGTGTTGACTATGATGAGAGAAAGATGGATCGGCTTGGAAGTGGAAATTGATGGAGAGAAAATATAGCATTTAGTAAGACCCAAAAGAATAAAATTAATGGACATTTATGGAAGTTGAAGAATTTTGTTATTTTTTTTCTTTTACAAAATTCATGTATTTTTTGCACCCAAGTAAATTTCATGGTGCCTAATGCCCTTTGATACAAATTTTTTTGTTAAAAATGCACCTTAAAACTAACTTTCTGGGCTCCTCTAACGGTAAACTGATGGATGTTAACGGCATGGTGCTAGATGCTCCTTTTTGACAACTTTATGGTGTCCAGTGTCCCTTAGGGTAAACTTTGTTGTTAAAATTGCACCTTAACCCTTTTTTTTTTTTTTTTTAAGAATCACTTTTAACATTATTGGCAATGCATTACAAAGACTATTTTGAATTTCATACAAATGAAACATGCAAAAAGACGTTAAAATTATCTTATTTTATTGCATTTTTATATTTAAAAAATGCTCACTGAAACGTAGTTTGAAATCCTTTTCAGGGAAACAATTATACTCTGTAACTTCCACTTAACAGGACTTTTAGACCATCATTTAATTGATATAAACTTTTAAACCAAAGTAATTTATAATTCATGAGCACTATTATTTATTTTAAAATTTTTAAAAATAACAGATATGGGTATTACTCCTATATTTTATGGATTTTTGTAATTTTTTCCTCAACAATCAACATTCATAATGTGAACTTAAAATGGGGACAGAAAGATATATTCTGTCAGAATACTCACCTGAACTATAAAAATATTGACATTCTAACTCTACTCTAATTGTACATTGACATGGTGGAGGCCAGATTTTAATGTTGGACAGTGAACTAAGTTAGAGCATACTCCTCCGATCCTTAATATAAGACCCATTTAACTAATTTGATTAGATTAAGGAAGTTAGATAAATTAGTTAATTATAAGAAAAGTGACACATTTTTCCTAAAACACCATAATCATCTTTTTAATACCCCTCTCCCTCTTCTATTTGATTATGGTGAGGGAGTATCTATAGGGGTAATTTAGAGAAATTAATAAATATGAGAAATGGATATTATATTTAAGACCAAAATCAACTCAAGAATTGGGTCCTATATTAAGGACCGGAGGAGTATAAACTTTGGCAGCAAAAAACCACCTAAACATGCAAATCAACACAACAAAACTACCAACTTATGCAAGCGTGGATACAACATAAGCAAAGAGGACAATTCAACTTTTAAGTAATATTGTAATGATGATGATTAGTTTTTCAGGATAAGTTATGATAATGACAGAGTGAGTGGTAGTCTTAGTCTTAAAACATGTTCAATTAAGATCAATCATTTTTATTATAAAAAATACTGTTTTTTTCATTTATACACAGTCAGAAAACACTTCCTTCCGACAAAGAGAGGGTGAAACATTAATATCCTCTCAACCAGCTGAGCTCGCAGTTGCCTTTCAGGTTTACTCAAGTCGATTCGCCAAATGGTTTTTAAAGCATTATATAATTATGTGCAATATACAACATGATATCATATAATTATATCTTTTAAGTAATTTTGTTATGTATGTATTTCCTATACTCATATTTGTATCAAGCATTAAATTGTAAAACTAGCATCATATGAGCTATGAACTATGTATCAAATGGGAATATTGCGCGTACGTTGTTATAGCGTATTAATTTGTGAGCTTTGGAGAAGTACTAGATTATTCATGACACAAACATACGACACAACAAAATCGTCATCTGAACCGCCATTAGTAATCACAAGCATCTATGATTAATTAAAGTTTAAGACGATGTTTTTCAATTAATCAATGGGCGTATGATTTGGGTTTCCAAAACGGCAAGATTCTTATCATTTTGATTTGATGAGTGAGAGAAAGAGAGAATGTTGGAAATTAAACAAGAAGCACCAGCTGGGAGAACAAGTGGTTCCGAAAATTGTATAAACTTCTTGGGGCCAAAGCCAGCGAAAGATAAAAGCAATCACAAAAGCCAACAACTTGAAGCAGAACTTTCCACAAATTAAACCACCTTTTTGAAAATGCTCGGCACAAGTTGCTAGTTTGCCCACCTCTTTATCCCGCTTCAACAGTTTTTTGGCTCTTGGGTTATATGATAAAATTCTATCCATTTTGATATAGCCATGCGCAAGAGAGAAGTCTAGTTTACAACCCACACACACACACACGTCTCTATCAATCTCTTTTTAAATTTAGGTTCTTCTTTTCTTTGCATTCCCCCTGGAACGTGAGGACGTGATGGGTCTGTACATTAAAGTGGGAACGCATGTGCATGTGAAAATATTGAGATTAGGCTGCACAATCAGCACACTGCGCACTCATCGCTTTCTCTGTTTGTGCCCTGAGAATTGAATAACAAGTTATAGTTACCTCATGCATATATGCACATTGCCTGGCGGGTGTCAAACTGTCAAATCACTTTTTTTTTTTTGAGAAAAAGAATTATCATTGTTATTTTTGAAATGTAGCTCCAATATGGATAAGTTTTGCTGATGTTTTTAATTTTTTATCTCTCATTTAATTTTCATGTCATTATGAAGTTGGATAATGCAAATTGCAAACTACAAACATGGCTTATTTATGTATAGTGCTTCCATTTCCATCCTCCTCCTCCTCCTCCTCTCGCTGATTGAATGACGTGTCCCTTCTTTTGCTGCTGATTCTTTTGTAATCAATATAATGGCGTGGTTATTAGTCTTGGATTTTCATTCTGCATGGACATAGATCGCATTTTCTTCTTCTGTCCCCAAATACTTTTATGTCTGTGTTCTATGGTATATTTCTCTGATACGGATAATCCTTCTATAAATAGGAAAATTATTATTTGCAAATTACTCTTTTTGTTCTCATCATTACAGGGTCTGTTGCAACTTGTAAATTGTAAGATATTAATAGATGGTTTAGTTGAATGCTTTACTTATAAATTATAATACTCATCAATAGATGTTTCTGGGAGAATCATATCCCAAAAGCTAGTCATTGGAGGTGACAAATCCAAGATCTTATAAGACTCTCTTTCAAGGAAATACGCCTAATGTAGGACTTACAACTTAAATACAGATGAAATACTATCAAAGGAAAGTTAATTCATAATTAGATAAGGAGACATGCATTTGTGGATTGATGATCTCATATATCATTATTCCCTTTCTTTGCATTTTGTCGAAGATATACGTTGAATAGAGTAATGTGAAAGTAAAATGAGAGAAACTCTCATTCACACCTCACTCCCTGTAATAATCAACGATTTGTAGTATCCCGTGTCGGCTTTATCATATAAACAGTTTCTTTCCAAAACCTGAAGCAGTCTCCAAAATCCTGGACTATTTGTCGAAGGACACTTCAGTTTTCAATAGAGGGTAGGGCTCAATTATGAGCTGTATTGACTTGAAACTGTGATATATTTGTAACCGATCGACGCACGAATGCATGCATTTCTGGAAATTATTTGAAACAGAAATGTGCATGATCAGACCCCACAGAAACTGCAGCTAGAAACAGTGGGAGATTAATTAAACTTTGGTGAGGATCGATCCAAAAAGTTGTCTTTATAATAATTTAATGTTACAAGTCAGAAAGAGGGGAAAAAGAAAGAAATGCTTCAAGGTCCTTTTCATTAGAACCGACCTTTCAGCCTAAGGCTTCGCCTTTCGCTTGTCTTTATTATCTTTTTCTATATTTTCTGCATGCATCTGTCCAGGATTTTGATTGCCTTTATTACTTTCCTTTGTGTGTCCCAACCAATCAAACTATGGTTTATTTTCTTCCAATGGTGAAAAGGCGTTCTAGTTAAAATAATGGACGACTTTTTTATGCTTTCCAGAGTTTTCGTTTCGATTCTTTGAAGTAATGGGATAATATGGGCCTTATTTGATCTTTTTGTTTGTTTG